TTTTTTTTTTTTTTTTTTTTTTTTTTGCATAATTGAAAACCCTCTTAAAAGCCCGTCTTCCGTATAATTTTCCCTCGTTTTACCCTAGCCGCCGAACCGAGCCTTCACCTCCTGCTTTCCATTTTGCTCGTCGCCGTTCCAAGTAAGTTTCTTCTTCAATACTTTCAATCTTCTTCTTTATGTCCTTATCTCAACCGTTATGTTGCCGATCGATGTTGAAAATTTATTGTGGTTTCTTTTCTGCAATGGCTGTTGCAGTTCAGTTCTGAATTGGAATTTTTTGCTGGTTGTTCTTTGATCTGTGTCCGATTATTTTTTAAATCTTTATTTGGTTTAGTGGTTGTGTTATTGTTAGTGTTTGTTGGAGGGTTTTCTGCTGCTGATTAGAGAATGTTGCTAGGGTTTAAGGATTCGTGCACACTATACACTCGTTCTATTTGACATGAGTTGTTTGTTCCCTCTTCATTTAGTCTTTCTAAGTTTTTCTTCTCGGTATTGAAGTTTGGCTGTTTACACAAGGTTTTGGGAGTAATTTGTTCGGCTGCTTTTTTTGAGAGCTGCATTCTTCTCTTTTTGTTCTTTAGGATTTATCGGAACATTGATGACCTTTGGTCTTCTTCATCCATGTAAATCTGACTTACTATTTTGTCTTCCGTAGAAATGGCTGAAGCGGTCGAAGTGACTCAGGAACTGATCCAGCCTCAATACGACGTGAAGCTTTTCAATCGCTGGACCTTTGATGATGTCCAGGTTTCATTTTTTTCCCCTAATGCCCCGTTTCTTAGACTGATGTTTGTGGGAAGCAATTTTAGGATAACTTTAAATTTTCCGATAATGTTGGAAGCTATTGATGGATTCACCTCTCACTCATAATGATTTCACTGCCTCTCGTGTTATTTTACTTCTGAGTTAAAATAAGTCTGAGAACAACTTTTTGCTTATCATGACGATGTGGAGGAGTTGAAAACTGAGATCTGTTCGTATGGTTGTTGGGTTCTTTTTGTTTCCTGCTTGAATTGGGTTGTTAGGTGAAATCTCAATGCCATTGAGTTCCACTGATATGATCGAACGGTTGTGATTATACAGGTTAATGACATGTCTCTGGGGGATTACATTGGAGTTGCACCAGCCAAGCATGCGACCTATGTTCCACACACTGCAGGTCGATATTCCATGAAGCGTTTCAGGAAAGCTCAATGCCCAATTGTGGAGAGACTGACAAACTCGCTTATGATGCATGGCAGAAACAATGGAAAGAAACTAATGGCTGTGAGGATTATTAAGCATGCGATGGAGATTATTCATCTGCTAACTGATTTGAATCCAATTCAAGTTATTGTTGATGCTGTTGTTAACAGGTATGCATATTGGATCCACTGAATTCCATTCATGTTGTGTTTATGTAATTCCATTCATGTTGTGTTTAAGTATACCATCGTAACTTTTAGGTCCAATTACAGATTTGGTATCTATGGTTTAGACAAGGTTTTAATTTAGTCTTTAAAGGTTCAATTTAGTCTCTATGGTTTAGACTTGGTTACACTTTGGTATTTATGATTTGGGTTTAGTTCTAACTTTTAGTCCGTATGTTCTAAAATTTTCAATAGGATCCCTACAATTTAGTCAAACCTCACAAACTGTCCTTGTTACAATGTTGACGAGTATTTTCACATGAATATTGGTAACTGTGTTTGGTTCTAACTTTTAGTGCACGACTTTATTGGACGGAATTTGTGATTTAAATACTGCATCTTGAATCAATGTCCGGAACAAAGATCATGGTAATTCTGCAATTTTTGGGTTTTCAGTTTCCTCTTAACATATTTTTTGACATGGGATCTGGCAGTGGACCCCGTGAAGATGCTACCCGAATTGGTTCAGCTGGTGTTGTTAGGCGTCAAGCTGTGGATATATCCCCTCTGCGACGTGTAAATCAAGCAATATACCTTATTACAACTGGTGCCCGTGAGGCTGCTTTCAGAAACATCAAGACTATTGCTGAATGTTTGGCTGATGAACTCATCAACGCAGCAAAGGGCTCATCAAACAGGTAAACATCATATCTCCTCTTACTAATTTTTCATCCATCCTTGCACCATATTTCATTGTGTTATTCTGTTTTTGCAGTTACGCTATCAAGAAAAAGGATGAGATTGAGAGAGTTGCAAAGGCCAATCGTTAAGAGTAGTTCGACAAAGGAGAGAGAGCTCAAAGGATTCATCAAAAGCTTGGTTTTCGGTTCATCATCTAGTTCAAAGTTTCTATGGACATTGTTGTCCTCAATGTTTTGTTTGCTTTATCTTAGCCAGCGAGAATCCATCATATTCTTGATTAAAGCCTTAATGAGAAGTCTTTATATTTGGTGAGAATCTTTGTCATATGGATATTTGTAATACTTTAATGTTTATTTATGGTTGCTTTTCAAAATTATTACATTAAAACTCCTTATTAGTTGAGCTTCCTCGTTATTTGGTTTAGTTTATTTTAGCCCGTTTTAATTTAGATCTCATTCTATTATGGTCTCTAAAGTTAAAAATCTTAGGAGTATATGAAAAATTAATTTCCATGCAATAAAGGGACAAAAAAAAATTAAAAAAAAAAAACCTTAAAAATCGAACTAAATTTATATTTGGATTAAAATGGAAATTGTCAATAGCTTAAATGTAGACTCGTTATCAAACTAGTATGTAATAATGGCAAACTAGTTGACAGCCATTTTTTAATAAGTCATTGAATGAAACCCCAGTTTTTAAATCAAATTAAAAAAGGGTTAAAAAAATGCCCTTTTATATTATTTTAATTACAAATCTACCCTCCCCGTTGCCTTCAACTCTACGAATCTCGCTCACTTCCAGTTCCGCGGCAGCAGTGGCAGAGCTGAAAGGTGAGCTTCAATGGGTTCCGTTTCTCTGAAAATCGGAGATGGAACCGCCAGATTCAAAAGGGCGTCCATTTGTTCTTCAGCGCTCAACATTCTCATGCTCATTTCTGTAATCACCACGAATCTTTTCGCATTATACGCCTTCACTTACTCTCCCAAAGATCGCGAAGTTCATTCGCTTAATCGCGCACACAAGAACTTTTCTGTCATATCCGAGCAGGTATCTCTTATTCTCAGAGAGATCGAGGTTTCTCAGAAAAAGCTGGCTCAGATGGAAAAGGAAATTCTCGGATATCAGAGCATCGATCTCTCCAGATCCAATGTCGCAGACGAGCTCAAACTCTTCCTCCAGCGCCATCCGCTTCCTCTTGGCAAGGATTCGAAAAGTGGAATCACTGAAATGGTCGCATCTGTGGGGCATTCGTGTGAGAAATCGATGGACCTTTTGTCGCAGTATATGAATTACAAGGTCTCTGGACCTTGTCCCGACGATTGGAGCCTTGCTCAGAAGCTGATTCTTCGTGGATGTGAGCCCTTGCCGAGGCGGAGATGTTTGGCCAAATCTGTGCCAAAGGTAGGTTTACAACCTTTCCCTTCCTCTCTATGGAAACCTGTAAGTGATAAGATTGTTATGTGGAGTGGACTTGGATGTAAAAATTTCAATTGTCTGAATAGTAAGAAATTAGGCAGAGATTGTGTCGGTTGCTTTGATTTGGTTAGTGGATTTGAGAATCAGAGATTTGTGAAGGCCAGAGGGAAGAATGATTTTTCCATCGATGACGTTCTAGCTTTAACTAGCGGAGGAATCAGGATAGGCTTTGATATTGGTGGAGGGTCTGGGACTTTTGCTGCTAGAATGGCCGAGAAAAATGTCACTGTCATAACCTCTACACTGAATATTGATGCCCCATTCAGTGAATTCATTGCTGCAAGAGGATTGTTTCCTCTCTTTTTGAGTTTAGATCACAGATTCCCTTTCTACGACAATGTGTTTGATTTGGTTCATGCCTCAAGTGCATTGGACATTGGTGGAAAGCCTGAAAAACTGGAGTTCCTAATGTTCGATATCGATCGGATCTTAAGGGCGGGCGGATTGCTTTGGTTGGATAACTTCTATTGTGCGAATGATGAGAAGAAAAAAGCTTTAACACGCTTGATCGAGCGGTTTGGATTAAAAAAACTGAAGTGGGTCATTGGGGAGAAATCCGAGTCAGGCAAATCTGAGGTTTATCTGTCCGCTGTTCTACAAAAGCCTGTAAGAGTATGATGATGGTGATAATGCTTGAAAGAGGTAAGATAGTTGTTCTTCTCAATCTTTTACATAAAAATGAAATAATGAATAGCATAAGTTGTTTATTCTGCCTACTGTGATAATAGTTATGGAGAAGAATTATAGCATTAGACCAGTCGCTTAGATGATGTTCTTCAATCTGTTAGTCTTTTGTTGCTGTTTTTTGTTTTCAGGAAATGAATTATTTAGTGTTAGTCTTTTTGAATCAAACTGTTATTCCAGAAGATTGGAGATATTTTTATCAATGTTATGAGCTGTTTGTTGCTCTGCTTCTAAAACAGAGAAATGTCATTAAGCCAAACTTGCTGCCTGCTTCGTTGCTATAATTTGATTGGGAATGAGTGGAATAGTTTTGGTTCGTGTTATTTATCTTCTAAGAGGCTACCGAGATTATGTGCTAATGACTCTATGAAACTTAAGTTACCATTGTCGGGAAAGACAGATTCAAATCATATAAATTTTAAAAATTCCCGTGACTATCCAAAGTGACTAATATTAATTGCTCTATGATTGGCTAGCCGAAGATTAGAAAAAATAGCTTTTCAGGAAAAGAATCAATTTTTAAGCTTAGTAATTTTTTTTTTTTTTGGAAATTTTAATATTTCAGTAGTTTATTGAACGATTTTATACTATTAATGAAGAAGGGTTTTTTTTAGAGAGATTAATAAATAAAAAGTACTCAAAAAACCCACTCTGTCCAAAGATATATTTTAAAATTAAATTAAATTTTTTAAAATATGTTTTGTATTTATTTAAAAATAGTTTCGCTCATCTAAAATTATTCAAGCACCTTTACCACTCACTTTAAAATTAATTTTATTTAAAAACCAATTTTTTTTTATCAGGTCATTCCAACACAGACGACAGTCATTGACTTTGCTACTTTATCATTATTTTCAAAATTAAAATGCTTTCAAATGGGAAATTCAAAGAATGACAAAAATAATTGAACACAAAATAAAAGGGGAAAACAAAAGAAGAAAAATAAGAGGAAAACAATTTTGATTTTAGATAGTCATATCACGTGCAACACACGTGACTCTCAAAAGATACCACGTCACGAGTTGGAGAAACCTTCTCATTACGTGTCAATTTCTCAATGGCGATCTCGTATAATACTGTATGTGCAGTGGAACTTCGTGACGCCGCCATTTGAATTCCCATTTTACCCTCCTATTTTTCTATATTGACCAGCCACGTCCCTCCCTCGCAAAGTAAAATTACGGGCTATTTTGTTTTTTGTTTTTTTTTTTTTTTTAATTTTTGTAATTTTTTTTTCTTCTGAACCAGCTCTCTCTCTCTCTCTCTCTCTCTCTCTCCCGAGTGTTGCAGGCTTTTTTTTTTTTTTT